CTCGATGTGAAATTACTGTCGCTCTTCGATATTTAATATCGCCGGACCAAAGATGCAATGCTGATACCATCTATCACACCCGTGGACACTTACAGCAAGTTACCGATCGCCAATTCGCAGCCAAATATCAATATTTTGTGCATATCAATTAGAATGTCTTTTTGTTTACCTAGTTCAGCTACTTCAAGTGAGGATATTTATACAAGTTCCTGAGTTATCTTCCAATAATCGTACCATACTAGAAGGTTATCAGCAAATATCAAATCTCATAGTGAAAGTGGCAAGACGTTCTCTTTACGTGTATTTAGTTCCGTCAGGATTCATCGCGAAGTCAGATTATAAATTCCCTTCATATTCCACCGAGTACATATCCCATCTCTCGTCCATTTACGTCGCAGCAAAAGTCAACCCCATAGTATCTTTAATATGTTTCCAAGTTAGTACAATTCTAATCACTACGTGGGAAGAGAAGTTGAAGCATATATAAGATCAATGCTTGTCGGTATGTATAATTGGTGATACTTCTTCAGTCTAAGTGGCGGTTGTTATGGCAGTAGTTGGACAGATTTATTATTGCCGAAATCTTCACTTGCCCCTTTACCATCGCTCGCTAAGTCGCGAGCATTTTTTACTGTCGAAATTTCCGGAGGTGAGTGGGATATGTGATTTTGATGATGCATGTTGGAGATTTGAAAGAGGGGTTTACGCATTAAGTGAAAGATCACCTGGTGGATTCATTGAATTCTTGGTGTTTCTCGATCTAGAGTAGAAGATGGGTTAGTTGAATTGTGAGTAATGTGTTTGAAGTTAGCTGTATTGTCTTGAACGGAAGTTGTCAGGAAAGATAAGATCTTTTTATACCCCACTGATTTTTTAGTTCTACGAAAATTGTCTTTATGACTTGTACCTAATATTCTACCGGGTATTTCTAAAGCTTGAGATGGTGATATAAAGTCCAAACCGAAGAAGTATTACATCTTTAATTTCGATTACCGAATCAATTCGCAGTTTACATGGGAATAGCTGAACGAAAAAAATGTGTGGAAAACCACCTCCAAAGGTATGAATTTATGGAATGGCAACGGGGGTATCGAATGTAGATTTTGTATGGGAAACCCAGATGAAATCGCTAAGTGATAGTGATGATGATCGACAACATATCAACAGAACTGGCGGTAAAACTTCACGAAGAGCGACAGCAGAATGGCATATGCTAATGCCAAATTGATGACTTTGCTCTACCGCAGAAATTAGACGAGTCAAGTTATCAAAGCTCATGAGAATAGAATTGCCCAAGCCTACGATCAACAGGTACTGAAGACATCACCACGGTGTATGGCAAATTTGTTCTGAAGGGACACAGATTCATGCCAGGAGCTGGGATACATTTTATAGGAATCCGATGCTTGAAACATTGTGAACTCTACTGTAACGGTGAATATTATTAGCTTTATAGGAAATGATAGGCTGAAATGATCCTTTCTTATTTTGAGAATCGCAGGGGTATATATAATGCTCTGCTTCAATGGAGAGTTTGAACTCAAAGATCTTTAGTCAAGTAATTTTAGTGAACGGATCTAAGAAAAGGGAGTGATGCGCTTCCTGTGAGGTTTACGGAAACTAGTAAGGTAAATTTGCTTCGAAAGACGGCTCACTCGATTAATAGATGATGGATTCAAGAATGACATTCGATGAAAGTCTCATCATGAAACTGAATCACCTGTATTTGATCTGACAACGAGATGGGTAAACATCAAGCAAAGGGAAAGAAACTATTTGACAGTGATAACCTGAATTTCACTGTACGCGAAGCATCTGGGTGGTAGAAAAAGCAGTTGAGTTGTTAGTGACACATTAGAGCTTTTCCGTCAGTGAAATTCCAGATCCGGATAATCACTATTGTAACTTTTGAATGTTTCCTTTAATGCTTGTGAGAATTTCAAGCTTAGATAGTAAAGAACTTGCACAGATCACGGTAGAGGTTAATTTCCACGTCGTCAGATCAAATCACAATTCAGAGCTGTAGATATAAAAATCTATATCGGTTCAAGAGAAATTTTCATCAGAGATGTTGGGAACTTCATTGAAGAAGTAGATGATTATTGTAATAACATATTTTATTGGTTATATCAACATTCCCCTGGTTTATTGCCTAGAGTCTAATGTTAAGTGACCTCTCAGTACTTTTCAAGGGACAATGAAACTAGAAAAGAAAGCAAGACAAGATTCAACAGCAAAAAATCCAGTGATGAGCGTCGTGCGGCGATCCCCCCCCCCCCCCCGAAAATATATTTATAAGAAAGTCTCGACTCTCTAATGGTACCAGCATGCCAAATCTCAAAAGTTATCGGCACCTCACCCACGGCTCGCACGCTCTAGGTTGTTTTACGGAGCTATTGATTCAGCCGGTTGTCTTTTATATTCCTGCGATAGAAGCATCAAACATTTCTTTCCCAAGGCCTAGTTTTGACATTCGATCAAACGTGAGATGTCATGAATATGAGAAATTAATCAAATCTCAGATTTGGCGAGTCCGAGTAATCAACAGCAGTGAGTACAAAGTTGGGAATCGTAGATCCAATTTAGCCTTCATATAGAGATACAGCAAAGGAAGACGAGAGGTAAATTTCTATGTTTGAAGCAATTGCATCTGCTTCAAGAACGCTATTTCGTTCCAGAACTTGAGGTATCTCGTGGGGGATTGTTAGTGGCCGTGGATCAAATAGGAGAGATCAATGAGTGAAAATGGGGATGTAGACAATGAATATGCCAATGACAGCAAAAGCGGCGTTCAAAGTTCGGAAATTTTATGTTAGTACTGCATGTTGTTATACTACATCTAATTTCAACCTTGATAATCATCCCATCTATTCGTGAATTGCCATGAACGCAGAACTGCGATACGTAAGATGTCAGTATCCTGCACATTGTATTTATGATTAGAGTGGATTTTTAAACATTTATCTGATCGTTCTTTGCAATGACTCTAAGATTGCCTCAATGGCAGCCCAGGAACTCTATGCCTCACAGGCTACTAAAATTGCCATCTCCGATTTTAACTTAGATGTATCCACCACCTAATACTACAAACCATTACCAGAACTTAAGCCCTACCAACAACGGCTTCAAGGCTCCGAAAGTCAACAACATGTCCTCCCTCCGCATAGTTCTTGCAAAAGGATAAGCCCAGACGGGACTAGACCAACATATAAATGCCACTACCCAAACAAAACCAATTATCCTACCCAACACAGTGTTCTTCTTTCCGCCCATAAGTCTCCAGATTTCTTGAACCCCATCTTCAATCATGATACCTAAAGTTTGTGCACAGAAATATGACATTGCACCGGATTGTGCTGGGTGAATACCACTTCCATAATCTGCGGCCACATGTGTCGCGCCCGAGATAGCAAATGTAAGGAATATCTTGAGGTAGCGAGCAATGGGAGTGGATTGAGGAATATGGAGGATACTGTGGGTGATGAATTCGGCGGGGCCTTTGATGGTGAGTTGAATGTTCTGGTGCCAGGACTTGCTGCATGGATATTAGTTTGTTTTCTCAGTCTTGCAAACCCATGAAAATAAAAATAAAGCTTGAATAGAACTTACCCCCAGAGTCCCCTAATCGTGTATGCATGTTTGGCTTCTCCAAAGAAAGGTCTCCACCGCCTCACTTCTCCACCACCAAGTCCAACATCTAATAACGCAGCGACAGAGAAGAAAAACTGAAGATAGATAAACTGGCACACAGTGTAAAGAAGACTAATGGTGACTCTCGTGATAATCTGGTCTCGTAAATTGGGGATACCGTCACCAAACATCATTCCAAACCACGGAATACATTCATCACCCATCCATTTCTGATCTACATTTAGTTGTACATCAATAGCAAGCGTATTTAAAAAATACAAGGCGACAATTGTAGCAGCATGATTCAAACAGAATCTCCATCTTGTCGGGCCAAGGATAGGATCCTTCGCATTGAAGAACGGAACGTTGGCAATCTCCAGCGAAGTACCAATATATCTAGTATTTCCGACCACCTCTTGTCCCCATTCCGATTTTGTTTGTTTCTTTTCTTTATTTTCATTCTCATTTCCGATGCTCTTGCGCCTCAGGTCGTCTTTTCCATATTGCCAGTTTCGAAAAATGAATCGATCGAATATAACATTGGGCATAGTATAAGAACCACTTGCTAGGAAGCGACCTGCCCATCCCGTTGTATTGATGTGTTCATTCCAATTCGATAGTGCGATATAAGAGAAAAACACGCTCAAGGCAAAAGCTAGAAGTCGTGCGGTGCGAGTTGTAGTGTGAACTGCGGTCAGGTTTGTGAGGAGAATGTTGGCAAAGAAGAGGATGAGGGGATGAGTGAGAAGTGTTGTGACAGTCATTATGGGACCTGATAAAATTCGAACTTTTTCTTTTTTTTCGAGATCCTTTTCGAAAGTGTCGCAAGATAAAGGTGATCAATACACAACTAGCCCTAGAGGTACTAGTAGGTATGTGTTATACAATTAGCTATCACGTGCAATGTACTTTCCCTTATACAGCCCCTCTAGATCAGATCACCTTCCGGATGACAGTAGTGAATTTCTGCTATTGAACATCCAAATGTGACCATCCAATCTTGCCAAACATAGAGTCACTCTAACCGTTCATTCTCACATTAAAAAATACAAGACTTACAAGAGTAAGATTTTCTCTGGTCGTCACAAGCGAGTTTACCTCATACTCCTAGCTACGATTCTTGACAGACTATCTACGTGATCTCACATGTAGGGATATTTCTTTACTAAATTCTAATCCTGTCGTTATATAAGATCTAGATTTTTCCATTCGGCGCGATATACAGTATAAGAGACTATCTAAGCAAAATGATTGATAGAACCAACAACAATAACTCTCTGCCTGATAAACACATTTCATTGGCCCCCTGTTCTTCATAAGCGTCACTCATATTCTTTGAGAGCATATCTGGTTGCATATTCGATAAATGGTTCTGCAGATAATAATTTCCTTTACTTGCTATAAGATTCGGCGACTTTGAAAAAACGTTTTAACATTATAGGGAGCTAGATAATTTGATATTATGAAACATAACCAAACTATGCTTTTCTTGCTCGTCATTCATATCTTCCTCTCAAATACCAACTCCACCCAAAATGTCGTGCCAATTCACCCTCATCAATCCTATCATCACCGGGTCAAATATAAAAGCTCGGCAAATTAGCCACTATATAATCAAAGCTCGTGCTCCTAAAGGTATCACTTATAAAACCCCCAAAATCCGCATACAAATTCAACAACTTTGCTCCATTGTTATATTGTGGCCAATTCGCATATGCACTGCTCGTCCCGTTATTCGGGTTCAAAGTATTTACAAAACTCAAATAGTATGCTTTGCTAGCACTAGCCGCATAATTTGGTTTGATACCGTTGAAGACCTGTAGAATATCTGAGCCGTGGAAGGTGCCGAGAACAGGGGTTCCGTAATCATAGGATGAGAGATAAGACCAGGAGGGAACAGTTGGTGCGACCTTTAATGCAGTTTGGAGGAATACACGACGAGTGAGGGTGAACGTGAGATCTCCAAGAATGGCGGCTAGACGTTTGAATTGGGGATACCAATTGTTCAATAAGATCGTTCGGAAAGGGGAACCAGAGATCAAGTCATTGGGGTATGTGTTGAGGAGACCGGTGAGGACAGAAGTAGGTGCATTGTGGAAAAAGAAATCGGAGAAATAGGTTGTAAGTTGAGCGGTTGTAGAAATGTTGCTTTGGAAAAGAGCAAAGATTGTTCCTTCGTCTTCTTGATCGCCAATTATAAAGGGGACCTTTGCCCAGTTTCCTGATGCGAGGAGAAGATCTGGTGATTTAGTAAGAGCCGTACCATCTGGGCGAGGAAGATAAGATAGTGCGATGGACGAATAACTAAGGAGACCAGGAACAGAGTTGGTTGCGTTGAGAAGAGTAGAATAGGGCACGCCTCGTAAGCAAGTTAGTGTATTGGCTGCGGCTGAACATCCTGCTGAAGCTACGACGTTGTCGTAAATGATTTGTCCCTTTGGACAATCGACTGGATCTGCTGGAACTATGCTTCCTGAATTCATAATGGCTCCACGGAATAATGATTTGCCTTTGTATGTGTTGTCACCTCCATATAAAGCCATTTGGTCGAAGACTGAGATTGCACCAGCTGATTCTCCCCAAATAGTTACCTTGGATGGATCACCACCGAAGGAAGCAATGTTATCAGCGACCCTTAAGAAACTTCATTAGTAGACTGTAGGGCTCTCAAACAGAACAACATACCATTGTAATCCCAATCTCTGATCCAACAACCCCAAATTCGCACTACCATCCGCCAAAATTTCCGCTCCAGGCAAAAATCCAAATCCGCCAACCCTATAAGCCACTTGAACAAAAATAATCGGTTTGCCCTCCGCAATACTTTCCGCTACCCACGAAGATCCATCATACATCCCTGTTCCTCCCAATTCAAAGCCTCCTCCAAAAATCCAAAATAAGACTGGTAATTTAGATGAAGCAGTTGTACCAACTGGTCTTTGAATATTCAAATACAAACAATCTTCTCCAGCATTGAGAACTTGTTGGAAAACTGGTGTATTAAGGAGAAGACCTAGTGCTGATGTAGGAATGGCATCATTGATAGTAGTGCTAAAGAAGAATTGAGGACAAGAAGCTGCTTGGGCTGTTGCTTTGATTGTGCCCAACGCAGAGGTGATAGGTTGAGGTGGTTTAAGTCGAAGTGCACCAACGGGCGGTTTGGCAAATGGAACACCAGCAAAGGTTTCGACAATTACGCCAGCACCTCCAATAATTGTAGCTGCTGGTGATGCAATTGTTACTGTTGGAGCTGCAGCTCTTTCTTCAATTGGTACATCTCGCTCGACATTTTCGACTGGAAGAGCAAATGTGGTTGATAGAAGAGCAAAAATTGATACCAGCGAAAGCTTCATGACTGATGAATTGGGATGTGGCTCTTTCGGAAACCAGAAAGAAAGTAGGATAATGAGTGGAGACTACCGAGAATGGAAGGCCAACACTTCGATCTTTCCTCGAATTATAACAAATATCAGGGCTCCATTATCTTTCATTTTCAGAAGGAAATTTAGTAAATTTTCATCTCTCCAACATGTGCTTCCTCGGTCAGTGACTATAGGATTATCCACCTGACCCTCTTCTTATCACTTAATCTCTCATAGCTCGACATCTCGCATCCACCGCCGACTAGCCATAAGAATGGTGCCTTACTTGATGGAACGCAGAGTTTCCCATTTGCCGGCGCCAAAAGAATAAGCTGGCCAAATTCGAAATAGATTGGTCAATATTCTAAAATTGAACTCTAGAGTGGATGGGAAAGTTTAATAGTGGTCTTGGATTAGTCGGGTCCTGAGGTCGTGTGAGAGATCATTTCCTATTGTGAAATTGAACCCCTGGTACCTATGTAGTTGTATGAACGGGTAGATTCCCATTCCGGGAAAAAGTGTGACTGAAAGATATGGAGGTGTGGGGATGCGGGGTGAGGCTAAATTGACATACCGTTTTAAAGATTCAAAGCCCATCCATCAAAGTACGAACAGAGCGTAAGTACGACCCTATACGAGCCCTACATTGCATATTTCACATGTCTGAGGCCCAAAATAAATTGAATAGTCTTTGATTACTTTCATTTAAGTCGTGTAATTCAGAAATCGCCAAGCAATGTTTACAGAAACGGTCATCAACCGAGGCCAAATGCAAGTACAAGGTTCCCCGCATCAACACAGAAGGATCTTAGAATCAAGAAATTCTTCAATATTAAATTTATTCTTGCTTATCCATATAAGAAGTGGATTATACGAGCATGTGGTGCTACCTTCGTACCATGTATGTAGAATTATTTTTCCGTGTGATCTTGGCAACTTTGCTCAATGAGGATTTTGTTCCGAGGAATGTCTTTTAGATGACCACAACGTGACTATCTCAATTTTGTTCGAGAGGCCCAAGAAAACGATAAGAACTTCAGTCCATCAGTCTCTATTTCTCGGCAGATGCTTGGAAAAGGAAGCCCAGCATGCGAGGGCTCAATGGAGTCTCAAGAAAAAAGTGAGGAAATAAAACACGCAGCAGTTGAAAATTGTTTAGTTCGATGAAGTCAAAAATACTGATCTCCGTTTGTCAAAGTGGACAAATATGGATCAAATTCGGGAGAAAAAAGTGCCGAAGCTTCAACGAAGTCCTGCCCTACCCGATGTTCAAAGTACAGGGTTCCGTAATGAACTTGAACAAAAAATGTTATCAGCGTGCATTTTAAAGTAGCACGATCATACCCAACGATATTAATCACTTCCAAATCTCCATTCTCTCCGTAAAGTCGTTATTCTGATTCTCACTTTCTCCTTTCTTTGCAGCTTTGGTGCCGTTAGTTTTCTTCCAGTTGTAGCATTTACAACCAAAGACCGCAAGGGGCATCAGACCTACCATTGCAATTCCAATGATGTAGGCCTTCTTCGAAGCGGCTACGTAAGATCTGAAATCGTCTTTTGACCGTTCAGCAGTGAAGATCTTCCTCAATTCCGTGGCGCCAGTTGAGACAACCTTCCTTTGTGACACAATTGAATCATAGACTGCGACGCTTTTGATCAGAGTTTCAGCAAATGCAGAATCGACGGCGAGGTCTTCCTAGGGTTCGTACGAAAAGAATAATTGCTATTGCAGATGATATGTCCTCTAGAATCACCAAAGCCTGCACTGCAAGTGTGGACACTTGAATACCGAAGCCATATCCTACGTCCGGAAGACGTCGATATCCAATCTACTTTGAGCTGTGGGTACCGATGTCTTGGGTATACAGGAGAGCGACAACGATAAGACGTAGAGCACCACTAAGCACACGAAAGCCATGCCACCATAAACCGATCTTTCTTTCAACAAACGATTGACTAACATCGTACATTCCCCAAGCCAGATCCGTACAATCATAAAGATCATGGAGAGAAGAATCGAGCCGACGAGAAGTCCGATTACCACAAGTGACTCCCAGAGGTATGTAGTTTCAGCCTTCTGGGAATTCTGAGAAGCAAGGTAATTAGCATATAACAAAATACATGATCGCGATGGATTCGATTACAATGATATAAAGGATTATTCCGTGAAATATTACTTTCGCTGGTTTTGGCGTATCAGATGCAATAAAGATAAGGGAAATTGTTACCACCGAAGCTTCACCAAAAGAAAGATCTATATCGAATCCTAGACAAGATCAGTTATGCCTGGGCCTTTTGAAATTCAGAAATATCCAAAATGCATCATCGCTACAATACATGTGACATAAATTATCCTTCTACCAAAAGGCCAATCACACTAGCAACACCCACACAGCACCAGCAAATCCAGTACATGCATCTCTTTTGTCAGGAACTGCTATAGACGCAATTGCGGTGAATGAGCTGAAATGAATGCCGCCACCTGCTAAAACAATCGCGCACAGCCAATAATAAGCGTGGTATCATCTCGAGCATCACCTAAACAAGATATTCAGCCCTGATTCGTTGAATATGGTCTTGAAGAAACAGAATGCCAAATGTGTACGGAAAGGAGAACATACCGCAAATCAAAATACAGACCTCGCAAGCAACGATTGAAGCTAAAAATGTCCATCTGAACGAAAAATATATGTACGCCTTTCGCCAGACCGACTGAAAACTGAACAAGGCGAGTAAAAAGACGCTTTCGTACCATCCGACAATCTCGATGCCATGAAAATCATCTGTTGTTTTCGGTATAGCATTTCATTTGAGCGAAACTCGCTACGTATCCAAACGAACTTGCATCAGAATGGTGACAATCTGAAGTTTGGGCGCCATCTTCAATACGACCAGTCGCACTGGTATCATATTCCTCGCACTTGCTCTGCTATGATGACCTTGACGTCGAATTTCTTATCATGGTACAATAGAAAAGAAAGGATTTCAGTGGGGAGACAACCTGATCAAAGGAGATTGCTATGCTCGTATTTGAGTAACGGTTGAATCGTTTGTGGCACAATGAGCCCATGCTTGTGAGCAACATCACTGTCCATAATGAATGGTATGTATCTGGGTTAGATGGGAGCTGATATGAATTCAAGTTTTGCGCGGTGATCCACGCCTCTTATTGACAAACCATCTCATGAATAATACTTTTGTGTATGTTCTTGATTTTGATACAAAAAGGGATGATTAGATGCAAATGCATGTAAGAATGACGCATGAAAGAGAGATCGTACGCACGTGCACGTGCACGTGCACATGCAGTTTATTTTGTTGCGCTTGAAATTTCATTGGTTTATTGAAAATCACATGTGGTGGCGGGGGTTTGGACCCTTGAAAATAAACATGGTAGATACCAATACCTTCCAATTCCCTGGATACCTGTTTTGAGTGATTGAACTGATCGTTTCTATTGTTTACTTCACTTTAATGTTAATATCTAGTATCTACTCTCCTTACTACCTATCGTCAAATCTTCTACCACTTCGATCTGGTACTGCAAATAATTTTCATTGCAAACTTCACTCCTTTCCATCTCTTTCTCTGCATCAACCAACCAACCCACATCGGAAGAAGCAAAAGAAGGCCAATCAGGTTAAGCAACAATCAAGAATCTTCTGCGATCCACATCCACAATAGCTTCAAGTGACATTCAGCTCCTCGAAGGTGGGGTAGTGCTTTATCCCACAATACATATGAGAGAGCGAGAGCTTTGGACTTGGGGATATTGATCGACGAGCGATTCAAAGCGCCAGACTTCAAATAATCCTCCCTTACACGAATCGGAGATTTGATTGATTCCATAATACTCGTATTCCCATCAACATCCATCATCCATTAAAATGAATTCACCACCAGATGTCAATAGTCCGACGGTGCCTCGCAGGCCAGCTTTGAGAGCAGACACAGATGACATTCATAGCCCCAAGAGTGGACCAACCAAAGGTTAGCAATTGCAATTATTTCTCATAATTATTCAATACTTTCATTGACCCTGGCGTTTCGCTAACCTCTTATCTTTTAACTTCTCAGTCGTCTCAATTGCCGAGCCAGAACCAGAAGACATACAAGAATTCGAACTTCCTCCTACAGACGAATCTTCGAGAATAAAACATTTCAGTGCTGGTGTTGCAAAAAGAATGACAGGCCGACCAAACATGCCTTCTGCCAGTTCCTCCAAACTATCTCTCCGAAGTCAGAACAGCTTAGAACAACCAAATCGAGATGTTCCTTCCCCGGAAGCCTCAAAAGCCAATGATGAATCAAAGCATCATCATCACCGCGATAAACTTCTTTCTCAAGTTGCCGAATGGCTGCACTCAGAAAAGGCGAAGAGAACTTCCCGAAAAGCAAACAAAAGGGACGCTAAGGAGAACGAGGCTCAGGCTGAGGATTTGCCTAATAGAGAAACAACGTCAAAACCAAGAACAATGTCTGATAGTTCTACTTCAAGTGCTCTTTCTTTAGAAAAATTGCAAAGGATTTTGGAAGATAATATGTTGGATTTTGGCCACAATCAACTCCCACACTTTACTTCACCTAAACGACAATCGAGAAAACGATCCCTCGTTCGTCCCTCGCTGAAACCTTCTCCATCATCTGATACCGAATATAATGAAGGAGATATTGTGGTTCCATCTTGTGATGTTATTCTTGATAACTCAAAAACGCTTGCATATAGTGGTGGCGCTGGATCTTCCATGGAAACAACCACATTAAGCAATGCGAAACGTGCGGAAAAGGAAAGAAAAGCATGGATCCAGTTCAAGAATGAAATTGTGAGATTGGCGCATACGCTTAGATTGAAAGGATGGAGAAGAGTCCCATTAGATCGAGGTCATGAGATTGAAGTGGAACGATTGAGTGGTGCTCTCACAAACGCAGTTTATGTTGTGACTCCACCTGCAGATTTACCACCTTCTTCGAGTAGTACAAACATTTCAACCAAAAGTCAAAAATCTCCACCAAAGTTATTGCTTCGAATTTATGGTCCTCAAGTTGAGCATTTGATTGATAGAGAAGCAGAATTGAGCATTTTGAGAAGATTGGCTAGAAAGAAGATTGGACCTAGAATGTTAGGAACTTTTAGAAATGGACGATTTGAAGAATTCTTCAATGCTCAGACCCTTACAGCGCAAGATCTCAGAATTCCTGAAACTAGCAAGAAAATCGCGAAACGTATGAGAGAATTGCATGATGGTGTTGAATTACTTCAAGAAGAAAGAGATGATGGTCCGTTTGTGTTCAAGAATTGGGATAAATGGGTTGATAGGTGTGAGAAGATCATCACATATCTTGATAAACAAATTCTGGAAGGAGATTCTAGTAAAAGTATTAGAGGCGAAAGTTGGAGAGATAGAGGATTAGTTTGTGGTGTCGAATGGCCCATTTTCAGGGCTGCCGTTGAAAGATACAGACAATGGTTAGAGGAGAGCTATGGGGGAAAAGAAGGGCTAAGTCGTAGATTGGTATTTGCTCATAATGATGTATGTTCTTCACTTTAATCTTTGCGGTTCCGAACTAATCTCGAATTCTAGACACAATATGGCAATATTCTACGACTGGTACCCGAACCACCAGTCAATGGATCAGCGCCCTCCCCTCTCCTCCTTCCAGCGAATCACCACAAACAACTGGTAGTCATCGATTTCGAATACGCAAGTGCAAATACTCCTGGCTTAGAATTTGCCAATCATTTCACAGAATGGTGTTACAACTACCACGCACCTGCTCCCATGACCTGGACTTGTGATACTAGGAATTATCCCACAGTCGAAGAGCAGAAGAGATTCGTCAGAGCATATCTCAACCATCGTCCTCATTTCAATCCTCACGCTAACTTAACCCCCAAAATGGAAGGCAAAGATGCACCACCAGGCAGTATCAAAGAATTCATGTTGGATAGTCGAACGCCAGGTGGCGAGAAGGATACCCCAACTATGAGTACAAGTCTATACGCAGAAGAAGAATCAAGACGAGAGCAGGAGACAGATAGGCAAGTGGAAGAGATGTTGAAAGAAATTCGGATTTGGAGATTGGCCAATAGTGCTCAATGGGTTGCATGGGGAATTGTACAAGCTAAAGTTCCAGAGTTGGATGATGCACCGCCGTTTGTTGTGACGCCGGATGAAATTGACGGGCCCCAGGATGGGATCCTCGAACATGCGAATCCCGAGGATGCGAAGATGAAAACGGAAGATGAGAGGGAAATTAAGATAGAAGAACAGGTCGAGGAGGAAGAAGATGAATTCGACTATCTGGGGTATGCGCAAAGTAGAGCCCTTTTCTTCTGGGGAGATGTAGTTGGATTGGGCATTATGAAAAAAGAGGAACTGCCTGAGGGGTTGGCAGAGAGGATTAAGGTTTTGGAATGTTAGTCGAGGTGCGTGGGGCGACAGGAAACCTAAGGGAACGAGTTTACGTTTTGAATACATCGACAGTGAGGATGGGGGGTCGATCGATGTGAGCGAGACTCAAACATAATGAGCTATGATACCTATATATCTGAAACTCAAACATAACAAATAATTTGGAATGTATTGCATTTGGCGAACGATTGCCATAGCGGAATTGGAGTATTGTAAAGTATTTGAATATAAATAGATAGTAAATAGAAAACATAGCATAGCATTATAGAAATTATGGACCTCATTTATTCTTTTCCATAGTTATTCTTTCATTCTGTATTTCCATTGCTACACTTGGAAGTCCAAGGTAAAATTCACTTATTTAAACGTCGATCAATTTTACTGTTCATTAATTCGTGTTTTATTCTGTAAAAATTAATGTTTCTTACTGTTTGTTAAAACGCCAAGCTGTATGTAAGCATTGGATTTGGTAATCATTAGCGGTTGTCTATTAGCTAAAGATCCTGTGGCGATGCAATTTTCCAAATCATGTCAGCTGAAAAGCTTTTTCCAAAGCATCACCTCGAAGATATTGTTCATTGACATTTTCGCTTCTCGTGATTACTTCGAGATCTAAGATTGTTTATTGCTCACTATGCTTCAATTGCTCGAACTCGAACTCGTATCTTCATCAAATAGCATGTTTTTACTTCCTCAAGTCCAAAGCTCAGAGATGAGGGTCGAAGTGCGATGGAATTAACACTTTCCACTCCTAACGGCGATCAAAACCCAAGTATCGAGACCTATAAACTTGCCTTGCGACATCTCGAGAATGCCATTTCGGAACGATATCTCGGAAGTTACTCTTTAAACTCCGCTGGCGGTGCTGGTGGTGCGCTCTGTAATCATTGTGTAACAGTAGACGAGCGACTAAAAGACGTATGTTATAATGATGATGCAGCTCAAGGATTCGACTTCGGTGCGAGCGCCCGAGATGCTTCTGACAATCTGCATCTGGGCACTTTGAATGAAATATTTGCTCAGAAAAATTGTTCGTTTTGTGCTTTACTTACGAGACAATTTTTACGGACGAAACGAAGGGAGATTTATGTGAATGCAAAATTGAAGGGGAAAGATCTTCATGGATTGACTCTGACTAGGCTCCTCGAATTGGCTTATGCAGAGGAGCTTACTGGAAGTGGGGATGGGGTAGAGTGGATCGTTGATCCGTTCTCGGAGTACCTTCAGCTTTCTCTCAGTACCATCATAAGTGATGGAATTTTATCGATTTGGTGGCCCGAAAATACAGTGGATGATATCAATGATGAACCTACTCAACTTCCAATGCTCGCCACTGATCACGAAATTATATTCACCGGTGTGAAAAAGCCCTGGATTCCTTTGCCCAGTGGTGGAATAAGTACTGAAAGAGATCTGGGTATGTTCTCAGACTGTTTTAATTCTTGTTTACAAAATCATGAGAAATGCCGAGGAACGCAAATGACCGGGGCTCTCAGCCTAGGTTTTGGACCAAGTAGATTGATCGATATTGCGGATATGAAGATTGTGAAAATGGGGATTGATGAAGTTCCAAAGTACTTCATTTTGAGTTATGTATGGGGGCGCCCACCATTTCTTCTTCTCAAGAAGGAAAATGAGAATGAGTTCTCCACACCAGGCTCTCTTACAGTCCAAAGTATACCGCAGACGATTCTAGATGCAATTGAAATTACTGGACGCTTTGGAATACGGTACTTGTGGGTCGACGCCCTCTGTATAGTGCAAGATGATCTAGAAAGCAAAATGCATGAGATTGATCGAATGCATATTATCTACGCACAAGCGGAGATGACGATCGTAGCAGCTACAGGCGATGGTGCAAATTCTGGACTACTGGATATCGATCCAGTTTTCACAGACGCAGAAACTCACTTGGTTGACAACATCAGATTCACAGTCAACTCAATGGAACTTCGTGAAGTGATAGAGTTTTCAACATGGTTCACTCGCGGGTGGACATTTCAGGAATTAGTGTTTTCAAAACGAATTCTTTGTTTCACGACGGAAAGAACTTATTATTCATGCGAGGAAGGGAGTTGGAGTGAGGATTTTCCTTTGTTGACTCTAGATAGCAACGAAAATGGGGATACGGGTGAGATTGAAGATATATTTTATGATGAAAGTCTTAAAACGGGCTTCGATTTTCGGAATATATTGGATCCGTTCGAAAACTACATGGCAATGGTATCGAAAATGTCTACGAGACAATTTACACAAGAAAGCGATTGTTTGAATGCTTGTCGGGGATTTTATACAGGTCTTCTTTTGAAAGGTCTAGGGGGCTCGGTATGTGGAATACCGGCTATTTGTTTTGAGTTTGCCCTAGCTTGGCAACCGGAGGGAAATCTTTCGCGTAGAGGATCTCAAGAATTGAGCTCTGGGAATTTTGAATTTCCGACTTGGTCGTGGGCGGGTTGGAAGGGACAAATTGAGTATCCATTTCTTGCAAGTCCGGACAAGTGTGGGGTAAACATGGAGGTGAGGTGGGCTATTTATGAAGCTTATAAGCCAAACTCCAGCGCAGATGGCAAAGTAACAATAAGACAAGGGAAGAGATATAAACAGGTCGTTCCCACAATCAAAGTGCACACCTCCCCATCACAATCACATCAAAGTATGAGTTCATGGTATACATATTCTTACTCGTCTACATCAGGATCAAGATCTTCGAATCCAAAATTTGGGGTTTTACTTGACGTAGAGGAAGACCCGCACGCGAGCACCCGGAAGATCATGTCAAGTAACTTTATTGGTCCGAGTATCTTATTGTTTCAAACATATTCTATTACTTGTCATATTGACATGAATGAAATCTCACGACCGCCGCTAGCGAGACACAAAGACTTGAGATTCTTCACCATTGCCTCTCTTGGAAAGGATGAAATGATCGGAGAACTGAAAATCGATTCCGGCAGTTTGAATAACTTTCTCGAGTCTCATGTTTCGTCAGGTCCTACGAATACCGCTCTACAAATTGAACTTATCTCCCTCTTTGAAATCGATTTTGGAATCTCGTCGATGCAGAATTTGATGTGGATGAATGAGCATAGTTCGAGAGGTACGTTTTCGAAAGACTTTATGGAGATGGTGGAGAAGAGGGAGGGTAGGAAGATGAAGTGTGTTATGTGGATTGTGTGGGATGAAGAGGAGGAGGTAGCGATGAGGGTTGCGGTGGGGTGGGTGAGTGTTGAGGGGTGGGAGGGGCAGATACCGAGGTGGAAGGAGGTTGTGCTTGTATGAAGGAGGGAGAGAGATTTGTGAGGAAATCGAATGGGGATCTAAAATGAGTAGTTTGGTGAATCAGATTGACCTGTGATGTTGATCATTGATACTATTCTATTTCATTGAGTACGTAACAGCTTTTTCCAGTAATCAATATCGATAGCTCGCTCTATATTCATACATATTCTATCAAGACTTGATGCTGAGGCTCAAAACTTGCTATATTCCAGAAACGCAAACCTTTAAGCCTTAGTTCTGCCGTGAGTTCGATCATATATACTCGGAGAAAATAGGAAGATAAGCCGCTAAGCGCTGTCTTTTTTTTAGCGTAGATGCACGTGTAACCGATTTCCCTACTACGTGCACATCCCTGCTATATGCACAATCTCAATCATCCATTTTGAATAACTTTAAAAATTAATAACAATTCCAATTTATAAGATAAAGAGCTAGTAATTTAATTAATAAATAATAAGATATAATATTATTTAAAAATATAATAAAATCTTTAGATTTTGAATTTCGATGAAATTCATAGTGCTTATTCTTTATTAGATTGTAATATAATCTTTTTCTTTTTTTCTTTCAAATTATTAATCTTTATAGTATTAGAAAGCTTTATAATTTTTGTTAATATTAAATCTATAGTAGAAAAAGCTTTAGGGAACTTTTTATTTCTTTTGATTGGAGATTTTATTGATTTTAAAATCTTTTTAATCTCTTTTTTTATATTATATATAATCTAATAATCAATCTTTTTTTATAATATCCTTTTTCTTGTTTCAATCTCTTTTTGTTTCTTCTCAGTTTTCTTTTTAGCTTTTATTTAAAACTTAGCTTTCTTCTCTTATTCCTTTTTAAGTATTTTATCTTTTTAATATATTCTAGTTTTGATAATAGTAAAAGATAATCATAAAAATACATTATTCCCCTTTTCTTTAATAAGATTTAAACGCTTTGAATAAACTCTTTTTCTTTTTTCAAGTTTTAGAGTCTCTTTTAAATCTTTAAATCTATATTTCTATATAGAAGTTTCAATTTCTAATATAATTATAGCTTTAAAAAGCTTTAAAGTAATTTCATAGGTAAGAGTATAATGAAATTCTAATTTCATTTTATATATTGCTTTTGATATATATAATATAGCAAGAACATCTCTACAAATTTTAAATAATATAGATAATATAAAAAAGGCTTTCAAAATAATATAGTTAATTATAAGATTTCTATTTATAGAATATATGCCTGTTTTTTCAAAGGATTATAAAATATTATACTTTGTATAAATAAGTTCTCAAGCCTTTTTAAATATGTCCCAAAATATATACTTTATTATATCAATAATCCCCCTACTATTATATATCAAATTATTTAATAATATATTATAATTTATTAAAAGAATACTAAAGATTTTAATATCGAAAAGCTATAATTGATATATATAAAAAAAAAAAGAATTAAAATAATAATTTTTAATTTATTATATTTTAAAAGGAATTCCATATTAATATAATTAGAATAATTATTGATAATAAATAGATAATATCTTCCATCTGCTTTTTGATATATAATAGAATCGAATATATTTATAAGTTAATATAAATTAAAAGTATTTAATAATTATTCATTACTTAAGGCTTCAAAATAAGCTTTATTCTTTTCCTCTATATTCTAAACCCATATATCTTATAGATTCCCTGAATCTCCTTTATAAATAAGAACAAAAGGGAGAACTATCCTATTAACATATATAATTACTAATAGAATAATAAACTCTTTTAACTCATTTTACTTAGCTTTTATTACTCTACTTTTATTATAAATATTAGTATTTATTATTCTCTTTATAATCCTTCTTATATTAATTATAAAGCCCTTTTTATTTCAATTGTATATATTTCTTAACTATATATTATATTTTATAATTATTTTTATTAATTAAATTAAAAAAAGAGAAGTATTAGTAAGAGTATTTTAGATAATAAAAATTAATAATAATAGAAAATAGTTTAAACTAGATTATATATATAATAATAGTTATTATTAATATTAAGAGATATAATAGAAATAAATCAATATAATTAGGCAATTGAGAATGGGCTATAGTAAAAATATATGGAAATGAGGAGGATAAAATTATTCTTTTATTTCTAATAATTTAAGGATAGATTTATTTCTTTAATTGGTATATTGAAATTGATTTTTTTGTGGATTAAGTTATTAAATCTATATTTAATGGATAGATAAATAATGAGATAGATTTAAAATAATTGAAATATTTTGATAAATATATTAAAAATCAAAGAAAAAACAAATATCGAATATTGATATTAAATAAATATGAAAATTATAAATTAATAGTTTTTCAAATATATTATAAAGAGAATAATATTATATATTTATATTTATTATTATATTTAAATTATTTAATTTAATTATCTAATATTAACTATTTTAATAATCTAAAATATTTATATAATAATTAAATTAATGGATTTATTAAAATATATATTAATTATATTTCAAAGATTAAATTCTTTATAATTTATAAAATTATATATAAGAAATCAATTACTTTTGAGAATATAAAATCAGGATTCTAAAGAATAGGTTTAATATCATTTAATCCTAAAGTTGTATTTTTAAAATTAAATATTCGAATTCGTATATCTACCCCCCCCTTTTTCAATTTAAATTAATAGATCTCTCAAACCTCTTATAATCTAACTAAAGCTTTTTTTCAATTGATATTAATTAAATTTCAAATAACTTATTATTAATTAAGCTTCCTTACATCTATATTTGAAATTATATTAGTTTTAATTAAAGGTATAAAAAGATTAACTTATAAAAATATATTTTTGAATATAGAAATTCATATACTTTGAAAAGTAAATAAGATATTAAATAAATATTGATATATGAAAAAAATCTAATTATATCAAAAAGGAATATTTACTAAATAAAAAGTTTTTAATATATTATTTTAGTAAAAGATTGATATTTAGATTTAATATAATGAGTATCAAAAAAAAGATATTTTAATAGAAAAGTATTTTTTAATAAATATTATAATAAATATAAAAAAATAGAATATAATATAAGAGTTTATTAGAATAATATAATAGATCCTAAATTATTAAATTCTTTATAGTTTTAATCAATTGAGTTGATTATTATTAAATAATATGAATTTAAAAGTATGAATTGAGGTGAAAGTAGGCTACATGCTGATATGGGCTATATGCTAATAAACCACGTTATAAAAATATTAAATATTATTTATATATAAATAAATAAAAATGTTTTCTAAATATAGATCTTAATAACTTTGATTCAATTGAAAAGTTCATTATTGAATATAAGGTTTTAATAGTAAATCTTAAGAAGTTTAATATTAAGCTTATAAATATCAATTATTATATTTAGTTTATATATAAAGCTAGTAAATATTTATTAGTTTGAATAAATTAATATTTCTATCAAACTTACTATAGTAATAAGAATAAAATATTCAACTTGATTTAATTTATTAATAATTTCATAAATGAAATATAAAAGAATAAAGGTTTTAATAAGTATGACTCAACCTTATTTAGAAAAAAAAATAAGAAATATTAAATAAGAAAAAAAAAATAGAAAAAATACTAATTCAATAAAAGAAGGACAAATTAATTATAAATATTATAATAATCCTTATAACAAAAAGAAATATATTAATAAATATCTTTTAAATCTTATTAATATTAATTAAAAAAAAGTATAGAAAAAGAAGATAAAATAAAAATAACTTTAATACTCTAAATTTCAAAATTTTATTAAAAAAGAAAATAATAAGAAGAAGATTAAGAATATAAATTTTGATATAAATATTAAAGGATTAATAATAGTATTATTTTCTATTTACAAATTCCTTAAAATATTACATTTATATCAAATTTAGTATTAATAAATAAAAAGATTTTAATGTAAGATATATGGGATTTTTATTAATAAGGTATATAATTATATAATATAGGTATATCAATATACTATATATAGGATAAAAGAGTAACTTCAAGATATACAAGAAACTATTTTTTAAGAAAATAAATAATCTTATATTAATATCTATGAACAATCCAATTATATTAATTAATATTAAATTAATTATATAAAATATATTCTATTAAATAATTCAATTAACTTTGTTATACTATTTGAAACACTTTATTTTGAAGATCTTTTCTATAAATTATTTTCAGGTTTTAAATTCTAAAAGACTAGTGATTATATATAACCAAATAATAATAATACTGATATAGATTTTGTTTATAATAAAAATAAAGGAATTCTATTTCAAATCGATTATAATTTATATATACAAATACTTAATATATCAAAAATATAAAGTATATTTCTTATTATTTTATATATAATAATTATAATAATTAAATCAATAAAAATCTAATATTATTATTTTAATTATTTTTTATTATAGAATATATAGAAGATACAAAAAATAATTAAGGATTTATTTAAAAAAGATATAAAAAGTTTTTTCAAAAAGAAATCAGAAATATACGAATTATATACACTAAGTAAATCTTATTAAATCAAGAGAAAGACAATTAATAATCATACAATTTATCCTTTCGAATAGATAAATATTAATATTATTAAAATACACTCTATAAGTCTCAATAATTATAAATATATAATATTATTTATAAACAAAAATACTTATAAATATATAATATTTATATATAAAGATAAAGAAGATGCTAAAAAGATAATTTAATTTATGGATAAGTATATAAAAATATAATATAATATTATAATTCTTATATAAAGATTTAACAAAGAAAACAAATATGATTATTTTAAATTTAATTAAATGATTATAACTTCAGGTTTTTATTTAGAACTTATAATATTATATAACCGATATCCCTACATCTTGCACAACCCTGCATCTTGCACACTTTTATTTCTTTTGAAAATAATATTCTAAAAATGATATATAATCAATCAATCAT